GTGTTAACCATTAACCAAGAAAATGTGTAGTCTGCCATTTTGAAATTTTAATACATATGTCAGTGTGGTAGTTTGAATAAAAATTGCCCCCATAGGCCCTAAGGAGTGGCACTCTTAGGAAATGTGGTCTTGTTGGAGCAAGTGTAGCTTTGTCGGGAGAGGTGTGTCACTAGGGGGGCAGGCTTGTGGTTTCAAATGCTCAAGTCACTCTCTTCCTACTGCCTTCAGATTCGGATCTAGAACTCTCAGCTCCTTTCCCACCACCATGTCTGCCTACGTACCAATACTCTCCAAAGAAAAATGACTCTCCTTCCAGCAGCCATTTACTGCCCTTAGCTCCTCAGCTAGGAGTGAAAGCTATTCCCTCCCTATCTATGCTCAGATTTGTAACTGGCTTGATCTTGGGCAGATCTTGTTCAGAGAAACACAGCTTCTGTGAGTCCATGTATACAATAAAGTCAGGTCCAGAAGACAGTATTTCACTACACATCCCTCCTGTCTCTAGTTCTTTCTTTCTTCTTGCCTGTTCTTCTGCAATATTACCTGATCCTTGAAGAAAAGGGCAGCATTCCTCCATGTTGCCTTTGTTAGTTATTTGTCACACCAACAATAAAAGTAACTAGCATAGCACACACAACCACATACTCAATATTTATCCTTCTGTGTCTGGTTTATTTCACTGAATTGGTTTCAGAGTTCATCTGTGTGGTAGCATGTTTCAACCTAACTCCTTTTAAGTTATGGATGGTATTCCATTGAACAGCTAATCAAAGATTTCACTCAACAACAGAAAGACCAATATGACACCACCAGAATCTAGGGACTCTACTCCAGCAAGATCTGAAAAGCCCAACACAGAGCATGAAGAAGAGATAGACCCCAAAAATTATCTCGGCAAGATGATAGAGACCTTTAAAGACGAAACAAGAAAATCCCTTAAGGAATAGAAGAAAAAGCAAGCAAAAAATTACATGAAATAGAGGAAAAGACAAACCAAAAAATTCAAGAAATAAACAAATCTCTTAAAGAATCTAAAGAAAGACAAGAAAAAACAACCAAACAAGAGAAGGAAGCACTCGAAACAGTTCAAGGCATGAAAGCTAAAACCAAAACAATAAAGAAAATACTGAATGAGGAAATGCTGGAAATAGAAAGGCTGGATAAATGATCAGAAATTAAAGATGTGAGTATAACCAATAGAATACAAGAGATGGAAGAGAGAATCTCAGGTGTTGAAGACTCTCTAGAGGATATAAACTCATCGGCCAAAGAAAACCTCAAGTCCAACAAATCCCTAACATAAAATATCCAGGACACCATGAAAAGGCCAAACCTAAGAATAACAGGTATAGAAGAAGGTGAAGAAATACAGCTCAGTGGTACAGAAAACATATTCAACAAAATAATAGAAGTCTTCCCCACCAAATAGAAGGATATGCCTATGAAAGCACAAGAAGCTTACAGAACACCAAACAGACTGCACCACAAAAAGAAGTCCCCTCGACACATAATAATCAAAACACCAACCTAAAGAATAAAGAGAAAATATTAAGAGCAGCAAAGGAAAAAGGCCAAGTAACATATAAAGGCAGACCAATCAGAATCACACCCAACTTCTCAATGGAAACTTTGAAAGCCAGAAGGTCCTGGATAGACATCCTACAAACACTAAGGGAGCATGGATGCCAACCCAGACTACTGTACCCTGCAAAACTTTCATTCACTATAGATGGAGAAAACAAGATATTCCATGAAAAAACCAGACTTAAACAATACATATCCACAAATCTGCAATATCCACATGCAATGACACCATCACCAATAAATCCAAAACAAACAAAAACCAACAAACAATGGACATTAATATC